TCCCTTTTCCCACATGGATCTTCATTTTTTTTATTTCAAATCATTCACTTTTTATGTCAGCTCTGATCATTTATCTGTTTGGGGTTTTTTTTTGTGTGTGTGTGTTTTAGGTCATACCCTTAGATATAACACTGGAACTCCAGAAGCAGATAATGTCAGAGTTAGAAATTCTTTATAAGGTATGTAGGTTTTCTCATCTTCGTTATCCTTCCTTGTAACCTTCTCACAGCAAATTTTAAACCAGGCTTCTCTTTTCCCTTTTTTTTTCCCAGTGTGACTCATCGTACATCATAGGATTTTATGGTGCTTTTTTTGTAGAAAACAGAATTTCGTTGTGTACAGAGTTCATGGATGGTGAGTTGTGTATTTAGTGTGCTTTTATTTGCTAAGGATGCAGCTGGGAAAATCTTTTTCAGAACAGAGCAAAATGCAGCAGTATGTCTTGAGAATGTAAAGTATTGGTAAGTTTGCAGGTAGTTCAGAAAGAAAACAAACCACAAAACAAGTTACTCTTGGGCTTGTGTTACATTCTCCATGGTGTGCTGTGTGTTCCTGAGTGTAACTTGGCTTACTTTTATGGAAAATGTAAATAGAACAGAAATAAATGCTGGCTTAATTTGTGGTTTGATATTTGAGTCTTCCCTACAATCTGTCCTCGCTGACAAAACAGCTGTTCCTCCCTTTTACTGTTTTGATAGCCAAAACAGATTTTCTTTTAAAGAAATCTATTAACCCAATGTCCTATGTGTTTTCAGTGGGAATCGTCTCGTAATTGCAAGACGAGGAATCATTTTCCAGCACAGCTGTTGAGCACCCAGCTTCTTTTTGAGTGTGCTCTTGTTTCTCCCCACATAGAATCTTCAGACCAACAGCATCCTCCCCAATCTGATGCTGCTGTCATTATGGAGATGCACCTCGCTTTGAAATCTTCTGCTGAGCAGCATTCTTGGGGGAAAGGCAGGAGAAGACACTGATTACAGCAATTTATAATCATTGCTGCCCTCTGTCTAGCCCTTCTGAGAGGCTGGCTCATGATAGATGCAGTCTCCTTGTGTCTCTCATGCAAGAACCCCCTTCACAGGGTTCAACTTCTAACATCACATTGTTGTCACATATGATAAGTCTGTTACTCTCTCCAGGATTTTCTTATGAGCCAGCATTTTATGCCCTGTCCTGTTTTTTTTCCACAAAAGCTCAGTTAAGCTGGATATAAAGAAATAAGGATCTTGCAAATAATTTCCTGTAAAGGGAAGGCTTTCTGGAAGGAGAGATATCCAAAGCCAAGTGTGTTGAGTAGAAGCATCACTGAGGAGCTTCTTTCTTTCTGACAGGAACCACAGATAAAGCCCTTTAGGGGTTTATGGTGCATTTTGTCTTCTCCCTGTCCAAATGGTCTGTTTTTACTGTTACTTCTCTCTTTTTACACTTACTACCTCTGTCCCAGGGGTCACTGTGCCCCATTTCAAAGTATGAATATTCTCTCAGTTTTTCTGTATGTGATGAAAAACACTGAGTTCACTCAGCAAAGCCCACAAGTTCAGTTCATCACTGTTCTCACACTGACTATTTGCCCTTTCTCTGCTCTGTCCTTGCAGTTGCACTCAGACTTCCAAGCCTGTGTTATGCAGTAGTAGGGAAGGATCTCCTTACACCAAAACCTGCATCTGCCTGGACTGTGTATGCTCCTGCTCGTTCTGAGATCTTGAAAAATGGTGGACAGAAAGGCTTGCTGTTCTGAATTCTTGTTTCAAAATATTTAAGCCTTTAGGGTATGGAGCCCTCACGACGTTGTGCAATGCTGGTATTTACTGACCATGCACAAATTACTTGGAATTATGCTGGAGATGACCTCTGGTCTGCCTCATGTTGTGCACTCCTTCTGGTACAAGGCAACAGCCATCATCTAAAAGAATAACTAAATGCAAATAAAGGGACCTTGACTGTTTTTTCTTTTCCCCAGACCTTTAATTTTGATGCATAAGGATGCAGGTAAAGATGAGAGAAATATGTTCTCATCCTGCAGATAAACAGCTTTCACAGTGACAATTTTTTTAGGCCTTTTGACTCTTAGGCCAGTTTATAATATCTCCTAAATCCATATCTCTTGACTCTGTATGCCCAGTTGTATCCTGGACCATATCAGTCAGCTTGGATCAGCACTGGTGTGACCAGCAGGAGCAGGGCAGGGATTGTCCCCCTGGGCTGGGCACTGGGGAGGCTGCACCTCAAATCCTGGGATCAGTTTTGGGCCTTTCCCTCCAAGAAGGACCTTGAGGGGCTGGAGTGTGGCCAGAGAAGGGCAACAAAGCTGCTGGGGAAGGGTCCAGAGCCCAAGTGTGGGGAGGAGCAGCTGAGGGAGCTGGGGGGGCTGAGCCTGGAGCAAAGGAGGCCCCGGGGCGACCTTCTGGCTCTGCACAGCTCCTGACAGGAGCCTGGAGCCAGGGGGGGGGCGGGCTCTGCTCCCAAGGAACAAGGGACAGGACAAGAAGAAATGGCCTCAATGTGCCCCAGGGGAGGTTGAGGTTGGAGCTGAGGAACAATTTCTTGCCCAGGGCAGTTGTGGAGTCCCCACCCCTGGAGGGGTTTCCAAGCTGTGGAGATGTGGTGCTGAGGGTCATGGGTTAGTGGTGACCTCAAAGTGCTGGTTTAACTGTTGGACTTGATGCTTAAATGTCTCTTCCAACCAAATAATTCTGTGATATTACAAACCAGGTATTTCCTCTATGAATTACTTAGGTACAGAGCTGACCTCCATCACCCTTCCCACTTGCCTTTTGATCTTAAAGAGCAACAGAGATGTGAAATGAGGCTTTGTAATCTTTGGCCTTCTATATTTTTACTAAGGAAGATGTTCTTTTAAGTGAAAGTGGTGAAATGTGCTCTTGCCTTTTACTGTTGTTGCCTCTTTTCCTTGAAACTGCTGAACACTTGCTAAATTCCCCTTAAAAGCAGAGGTGCAGTTCTCAGACTCTGCCTAGATGTTTACACATAGATTTTAGAACTAATTAGAACCCACAGGTGATGTGGGCAATGTAAGTTGAAAAAGATCAAACTTAATGAACTAGTAGTAGTTTTAATGACCTAGAGTAGGAGCAATGTTAGTGAAGACAAACTTATACTGTATTTCTGCCTGACAAGGAAATTGAGGGGAAAAAACACCCACCACAAAATCCCAATCAACAGAATAAGAAGCATGATATAAATAAGAAAAATTGTATAATTAAGACTAAAGTCTGGAGTAAGGACCTTGTGACTTCTTTGGATTGCAGTGCTTCAAAATGAATGACTTTTGCTTTTAAAAACTGAAGCATAAGCAAAGTACAAGGTGTAGTTTTC